GTTCAGATTATGTTTGCGGCAGGTGAGCTCATTCATGCCCTCTCTGTTACGAGACATGAGATCAGAACTGACTGATCTGTTCTCTCCACAGGTTTGGCTGCCTGGGGCATGGTGGTGATCTTTGATCCTGTGGGGAAGAAGACAAGAATAGCATAGCTTTGCATTTGGTCTTCCTATGTTGACATGGACTTTTGAATGAATCACCAAAGCCACACCGGCAGAGTTATTAAATTCAAATAATTATGAGAATGTAATGACACACGATTCAATCATATTTAATTAAATGCTTTTATTTGCAACTTACAAAACCTCTTTCTTTCATCGAAGTGATTCAGTTTATTACATCATTATAATGAGGTAATGACATACTTTACAAATTATTGTAAAGTGGCCAAAATAATTAGTTTTGATGAATCACCTGGCCATTACATTTTTTCCCCCATCAGGAATGTCCTACTAGTCAGCACTGACAGTAATTTTAAAAAGCAAATTATGAGTTAGCATTTGGTCCTTTCTTTTTGCCAAACGTTGGGACAACATTGACAAAGCATCGGTTATACTGAATTCTTCTCTTTGCTCTGCCAGTCTTTTTCTTTTTCTTCTCCTGCTTGTCCACCTGGAATCAGTGAACAAAGTCAATAAACCAGTACATGCCCAAAATGATTTTTTTTTATATATATCATGGGATATAAACATTGTTGACATCTTACCTTGGGAGTTTGTCCTCTGACTTTGCCTGCTCTAGCCAGGGAACCATGGACTTTGCCTTTGGGTGAGAACAGGTTATATTTGTGAAAACACCCAAACCAAGATATCTATCATAAGGTAGCCAGAGTTATCAATTGCTAAAAAAAAAATGAATATTTCTAGTTGCTTCTGACTACCTTCAGCACAAATGACGTTTAAAATAATGTAATTCATCAGACCTTTCACCAATGGCATGATAAATAGTCACAGGCACATGGTAGCAAAGTTGATCTTTACCTCCTAACAGCCTCGATGTGACCTCAAGAGTGTTGAACTCCTCAATTCCAGACTGACAAATCAGTCTCATCCTCCAGAGGAACCCCGCACAGACACATGATCTGATCATCACATGCCAGGCCCTCCAAAGCTTCAATCTGAGCCTAAAAAACAATTAAATAAATCATTTCCCAAACGCATTTAAGTTTGTCAAAATTAACGATGTATAAAAATCAGAAAAAGTACCTTGATTTGGGCAACAGTCTCTGAGCCATTAAGATGAATATTGTGCAAAGTCTGGCCACGAACAAACAACTGCATGATGTTCAGTCTTCATCAAACAAGATTACATGAAAGAATTAAAACATGTAATCCGCTTGACGGAATCGTTGCAAAAAGCACAATATAAACAGTATTATTATTTACATATTAAAAATACTTACCTAAATCGCTACTGATACCAGATATGAAGGCCAAACACGACATCAACTCGCATCAACTCTATGAAATGTTTACGCGATTCTAGAAAAAGAATTGTCCTGCGCATGCGCATTTTATTAACGCCACATAAAAGTCCTCTGGACAGCTTCTAAAACACAGTTTTATTGTACTATTGCGTTTCAGTTTTTACACAGAAGTGAATATAACACTGTAAAAATTTTGATTTTAGTCATCTTTGAAAATATTATCCTTACGCCTTTTTCTTTTGTTGTCAATAGTGTTTTCACTCAAACTCATGACGTCATATGTCCCTGTCCTTCCTGTCTTTCAGAGGCAAGAGAAATGTCCGCCTCCGTCAGAAGCATGTCTTTGACAGTCTGCCGAGCTGCGACAGTTGCTTACAGAGCTTTTAATCCAGCCACACGTTCACTGAGTACTGGAGCTTGTTTAAGAGTTAGTATTACAATCATTTTTACCGTATAATTTATCCAGGTACTGTAAAAATCAGTTGTGCATCAGCTGTCACAGTATAGATTGTTCTTGAAATGTTACGGGCAACAAACAGTCATTCTAGCTTGATACTGAAACATAACTGAGTGATTTAACAAGACGGGTTGGTTTCATTTGAGACAGAAAGCAACCCTGCTGAAGGATCAAGGGGCTTTATTGAATCCACAGAAGAGTTCAGGTTCGTGGAGAGACTTGTTCCTCCTTCACGCATCCCAACTCCGCCGAAACATGAAGGCCCTGCACCGTCAGGATGGATCCCACCATCAGGTAAACACGCTTGTATTTTTTCCTTACATGGAAAAATGCATGTAATCATAATATTGGTGCCTTGGCTTTAAGGGATGGATGTGGTTTAATCTTTGATGTCAGGAAAGCATTTTGAGATTCTCATTCATGGAGTTCTGTTTTTATTATTATTAATAATTATATAGCTACGCCACCTTCCCTGCCTTACATGATCCGTCGCTCCAGAATGCACAATGTGCCAGTGTACTCGGACATCAAGCATGGGAATCAGCACAGCACTCTGCTCCGAAAGATTGAGGGAGACATATGGGTGAGTGTAATGAACAGACCTGTTTAGAAGAACAGTGTGTAATATATTAGTCCAATTCTTTTATTAACTGATTATCAACTATTTCCAGGCCCTGAATAAGGATGTTAAGGAATTCCTGCTGGGGCTTACAGGCAAAGAGCCTCCAACACAGGTCAATGAAATAACCGGGACCATCAGAATTAAAGGGCTGTTTGATAAAGAGCTTAAGGACCGGCTATTGAAGAAGGGATTTTAAATTTGATGTGGGCACAGCTAATGAACTGAACTGCAATACAAAGGCTGAGAGGAAATGTATAATAGTGTTCTCTCCTCCTTAAACAGGTGGACAAACTGTAAATTATCATTAGTGTACCATTTTCAATACCTGTGTTTTGCTATTGTATTAAAGAGTTTGTGATTATAGCAAACACGTTTCCATGTTGTCCCTGTTTTTTAGGATTGAAATAATTGTAAGGTATTCACTAAATCCTATGTGAAGTGAAGTGGCGTGACGTGACGTGACTTGTAAGGTATTCACTAAATCCTATGTGAAGTGAAGTGACGTGACGTGACGTGACATGTGGCCAAGTATGGTGACCCATACTCGGAATTAGTGCTCTGCATTTACCCATCCAAAGTGCACACACACACAGCAGTGAACACACACACCGTGAACACACCCCGGAGCAGTGGGCAGCCATTTATGCTGCGGCGCCCAGAGAGCAGTTGGGGGTTCGGTGCCTTGCTCAAGGGCACCTCAGTCGTGGTATTGAAGGTGGGAGAGAGCGCTGTACATTCACTCCCCCCACCTACAATCCCTGCAGGTACGAGACTCAAACCCACAACCTTTGGGTTATGAGTCCGACTCTCTAACCATTAGGCCATGACTTCCCCGTAATTATTAAAATTAAAAGTATTTGTAATACTTTTGTCTGAAAAAAGGCTCAATATAAAACAATGTATCTAAATTATACACTTTTGTTCAAATGCAAACATCACACAATTATACATACAGTAAACCAGCTCTAATACTATGTACAGCATTACTTCAGTTAACAAAACCATAAAGCTTTTTTATTTGTAAATTGAATTTATGAATGTGAAACGTTTGAATTTGGTTAAAATGAAAGTAAATTAATTTAAAAAGTTTTAAAATCTACTATAGGATGATCAGTGAAAGCAAAATGTACATTTTCTCAGAAAAGTGAGAGAACAGTTTTGAATGCTGCATATCATTTCGTTTTTTTATTGATAAAATATTTCTGTCAATAATGATTTGCCGGATAAACAAACTATCTGTTATGTTTCAATCCAGGTAATCCAAAGTAGGACAAGAAAGTTCTCAATTCTTAAAGATTTATTCAAATCCATAAGCAAGCCAACATAGCCAGGCGTTACACGATTGGCAGCAGGTGCAACACACTTCCATTCTTACTCTGCACCTTGTATATGTAAATATCTAGCTAGCTAGCTATCATGCGCAAATATTGCGCAGTCTTGACGCATGACGAGCAAGGGGACGAATGCGTCATCATGTTGCGACGAGAAACGTTATTCTAACGTGACGCTTTATATGAAAGCAAATGTAAAAACACGGGCTGAAGAAATATCTGCTAATTTTTAATATATATGTACGTGTGTGGAAACAAAGTGCGCATACACAGAATTCTGTCAGGTAAGATAAACTTTAAAACATTTATTCGGAGAGATGTTGATGTGTAAT